GAGCTCAAATACCCATGGAACTGGGGAGACTGAAGATGATCCAGTGGGTCTGGTCAGGGAGGCAGCGGGGAGCGTCCTACCCCAGCAGAGAGTTGGCATCCCTATCTCTGCATCAAAGTACTCCAAAATCTCCCTTTCCAGTGACCCTTTTTATAATTATGTAAACCAGGGAAAGACAATCTTAGCATTTTGTTTTGTGTACGTCTCCTTGGTGAGCACTCATGTCCAGGCGCGCACACATCTTTAACAAAAGTTGGGGCTTGATCAGAGCCCCAAATACCTGTTTGTTGTGTAAATCTCCAAGGAGTGATCAATTCCTTGGACAGTACACACCTTTCTCAAGAAAAATGTTCCTTGAGATAATTTGCTTTCCCAGGTAACATAGCTTGGTTTGTTACTTAATGTTTCGTCTTCATGGCCCTGGCCATGCGTGGTAACTCCCATCTATATCTTTATGTCAGGTCATGGGGCAGTTACACCATTAGGTCATGAGACAGTTACACAGGGGGCCGGGGAGGATCTATCTTTCTCAGTTTCGCTTACGCTGAGTCTTTTATAATTGATTATCATTACCATTTGCTGTTACTGTGTACAGTAATCTCCTGGTTCTGTTCACTTTACTTTGCATCAGTTCATATGAGCTTTCTTGAAAACTATCCTCTTCATTATTTCTTATAGCAAAACAATATTCTGTCACATTCACGTATCAATTTGTTCAGCCATTCCCCAATTGATGGGCATTTCCTCAATTTTCAACTTACTGCCACCAAAAAAAGAGCTGATATAAGTATTTTTGTACATGTGGGTTCTTTTTCTTTTTCCTTGTTTTGTTTGGGATACAGACTGATTAGCATACTTGCTGGGTTAAAGGGTGTGCACAGTTTTATGTCCCTTTGGGTATAATTCCAAATTATTCTCCAGATTGGTTGGCTCCACCAACAGTGCATTAGTGTACCTATTTTTTCACATCCCCTTCAGCCTTTATCATTTTTTTTTCTGTCATATTAACCAATCTGATAGGTGTAAGGTGGTACCTCACCATTGCTTTTATTTGCATTTCTCTATTATTAATGATTTGGAATATTTTTTCATACAATTATTGGTAACTTTTTCCTCAGAAAACTTCCTGTTTACCATTTTCACCATTTATCAGTGGGGAATTTATTATGGGGAATAGGTCTTATTATTTATAAATTTTGCTCAGTTTTGTATATATTTGAGAAGTGATGCCTTTATCCAATAAACTTGCTGTAAATTCCCCCCACCTTCATCCCAGTTTTCTGCTTTTCTTCTAATTTTGGCTGCATTGGTTTTGTTTGTGCAAAACTTTTAAAATTTCTTATAATGAAAATTATCCATTTTATCTCCCATCCTCTTCTCTATCCCTTGTTTGGTCATAAACTCTTCCCCTTATCAATAGACAGGCAATTTTTTCCATGCTCTCCTAATTTGCTTATGATATCATTCTTCACATCTGTCACGTACCTATATTGACCTTATTTGGATATGCAGTGTGAGATATTTCTACCAGACCGCTTTCCATTTTCCTCAAGCAGTTTTTGTCAGATAGTGAGTTCTTGCCCCCAAAACTTGGATCTAATCTAGATTACTATGGTCAGTTTAGGTTCTCTGCTCCTTTGTAGTGGTAGTTGATAAATATTGTGTTATTCTGGTTTTGGCTTCATAGCATTTAACATTTTTTTTCATTCTAAATGTGTGCAAGTATTTTCTCCTTAACCTGGAAGTGCTAGTATTTGATTATGATAGTTCTGGTAGTTTTCACGTATGTTTCTCTTTCAGTAGATTATCTGTGGATTTTCATCTTCTATTTTACCTTCTGCTTCTAAGGCATGAGGATCTTTATAATTACTTAAACTCTCATGTCTAGGCTCTTTTTTTCATTATGGCTTTTAGGTAGTCTAATAATTCTTAAATTATCTCCCCTTGATCTCTTTTTTAAAATAAATTTTAGTTTTAGTTTTCAACATTCATTTCCATTAGATTTTGAGTTTTAAATTTTCTCCCTCTCCATCTTCTGTCCCCTCCCCGATATGTTATGCAATCTGATATAGGCTCTACTTATACATTCATATTAAACATTTGCACATTAGTCATGATGTAAAGAACAATTAGAACTAATGGGAAAAGCCATGAGAAAGAAGAAACAAAACAAAACAACAAAAGAAAAGGAGAGCAAATAGTATGCTTCCATCTGCATTCAGACTCCTAAGTTCTTTCTCTGGATGTGGATAGCGTTTTCCATCTTGTATCTTTTGAAGTTTTCTTAGATCCTAGCATTGCTGAGAAGATCTAAGTCTATCAAAGTCAGTCATGGCACAGTGTGGCTGTTACTGTATATGGTGTTCTGCTGGTTCTGCTCAGTTCACAGTCTTCCCAGGTTTTTCTGAAGTCTGCCTGCTCATCATTTCTCATAGCACAATAGTATCCCATTGCATTTGTATACTACAACTTGTTCAGTCATTCCCCAGTTGATGAGCATCTCCTCAAATTTCCAATTATTTTGCCACCACAAAAAGAGCTGCTATAAATATTTTTCTATATGTAAGTGCTTTTCCCATTTTTGTGATCTTTTTGGGATGTAGACCTAGAAGTGGTATTGCTGGGTCAAAGGGTATGCACAATTTCATAGCCCTTTGGGCATTGTTCCAAACTGCTCTTCAGAATGGTTGGATCAGTTTACAACTCCACCAGCAATGCATTAGTGTTCCAATTTTCTCACATCTTCTCCAACATTTATCATTTTCCTGTTTTGTCATGATAGCCAGTCTGATAGGTGTGATGTGGTACCTCAGAGATGTTTTTATTTGCATTTCTCTAATCAATAGTGAATTAGAGCATTTTTTTTATGACTAAAGACAGCTTTAATTTCTTCCTCTGAAAATTGCCTGTTCATATCCTTTGACAGTTTATCAATTGGGGAATGACTTGTAGTCTTATAAATGGGACTCAGTTCTCTATATATTTTAGAAATGAGGCACTGGTTGTAAAAAGTTGTTTCCCAGCTTTCTGCTTCCCTTTTAATCTTGGTTACATTGGCTTTGTCTGTGCAAAAGTTTTTCAATTTAACTTAATCAAAGTCATCCATTTTACATTTCATAATGCTCTGTATTTCTTGTTTGGCCGTGCATTCTTCCCTTCTCCATAGATCTGATAAGTAAACTATTCCTTACTTTCCTAGTTTGCTTATAGTATCAGCCTTTATGTCTAAATCATGTACCCATTTTGATTATATCTTGGTAAAGGATGGAGGGTGTTGGTTTATGCCTAGTTTCTGCCCTACTATTTTACAGTTTTCCCAGCAGTGTTTGTTAAATAGTGAGTTCTTATCCCAGAAGCTGGGGTCTTTAGGTTTCTCAAACAGTAGATTACTATAGTCATTGACTTCTGTGTCTTGTATACCTAACCTATTCCACTGATTCACCACTCTTATTTCTTAGCCACTACCAAGCAGTTGTGATGATTGTTGCTTTATAATACAATTTAACATCTAGTACAGGTAGGCCACCTTCCCTGGCATTTCTTTTCATTAGTTCCATTGATATACTGTACCTTTTGTTCTTCCAGATGAATTTTATTATTGTTTTTTCTAGCTATAATGCTAAATATTTTTTGGTAGTTTGATTGGTATGGCACTGAATAAGTAAATTGATGATTTCTTGAGAGATGCTGTCCAGACTCTTTTTTTGATGGTGGCTTTTATTTAAAGTAGTAATTCTTAAATTATCTCTCCTGGATCTATTTTCCAGGTGAGTTGTTTTCCCAGTGACGTATTTTATGTTTTCTTCTATTTTTTTCATTCTTTTGTTTCTCTTTGACTGATTCTTGGTGGCTCACGGAGTCATCGGCTTCTACTTGCCCAATTCTAATTTTAAGGAATTGTTTTTTTCAGTTAGCTTTTGTACTTCCTTTTCCATTTGGCCAATTCTACTTTTTAAGGAGTTGTTTTCTTCAGTGTACTTTTTTTCCATTTGGCCAAATGTATTTTTTAAGGAATTGTTTTCTACAGTCAGTTTTTGTCCATCATTTTCCAAGCTGTTGACTGTCTCTTGCATACCTCTCATTTCTTTTCTCACAGGGGGCCAATCGCAAGCTTCTTGTGCTGGAGTCCATGGTCCTGGTCACTGGCTTTGTGTGCCGGGGCCTCAGATTCTGGCAACTGGTTACTGTAGGGGTCTGGTAGCTTACCTGTTGCTGAGTTGGGATGGGGTTTATGTTCTAAACTGGTTTGGCTGCTGTCTGTCTCTACTTGGCAAGAAAGTCATGTTTCCTTACTAAGGTACTTTTTGTGCTCCTTTGGCCTTGCTGTGGCAATAGATTTACATCTGCTGAACTTCTGTAGAGAATTATTGTAGTTGTTATTAGCAGTTTCTGATGTTGATTTCCAGTTTTTCATCACTAATTACTTTCAAAAATTATTTTATGATTGAATTTTAATTGTTTACCACATTTAAAAAAATTATTGTTTTTTAATACTGATATTTGGCTTCAATCACAATTTTTCTTCATCTGTTAAAATATAATTTACTTGATTGTATTTCATGATTTTTTTTGGTGTTTGCTTTGTTCAGTGTCTGTCAATTCATTTCTTAAAGAAAGTGCTCATGATGTCAAATGCATTAGACTTTTATATAGTCCTTTTTTCTCTGGCCACTCCCATTACTTTTTACTAAGTCATACTTTCCCATATATTTTTCACCATCTTTATTAATTCCTAACTTTTCATTGAAGTTACTATTTATGATAGAATGTATTAAAAAGCATTTACAAGTGCTTACAATGTGTAAAACTATGTTGAACATTAGGGAGACAAATAGGAATTATGTATTTATGTGTATGTATGTATTTATGACATCTATACCTCTTTATATGCATTTTAAAGTTAATATGTATACATACATATATAAGCATGTATATATTTTTATATGTTTAATTTTGCTCAGGTTGGATTGTATAATGTTTTCCCCCCTTCTCTTCCCTAGTTGTCCCTGTGATATTGAAAGCACTGACATATGATGAAAAACGAGGAGCCTGCAGTGTGGGTTCCAATGTGAGAGATGCTGCATGTTATGTTTGTTGGGCTTTTGCCCGTGCCTATGAGCCTGGGGAATTGAAGCCTTTTGTTAATAAGATTTCAAGGTAAGATATATTTTGTACAATTACAAAGATTAAAGAGTTCTTTATTTTCATCAATACCAATAAATGTTGCTTGATATCTTTTACCTAGAACTCACTCAGCTTGTTATTGAATGAGTGAATAAATGGGTAAATGAATAAATTTATTTTAGTGAAGATGTAGTACATAAGCAGACTTTTACAGCAATAACACATGGGTATATCCTAGTAAGTATGCCAATTAAAGTAAATAAGCACTTTTGCAGTTACCAATCATTTATTGATAATTGATTCAGTTTGTTGAATTTTAATTGTATCAAAATACCAGAGACCAAATAAAAATAGAAAAACGGTATCTTTTTTTTTTAATTAAAATATGGTATGATCGCTCTGTCTTTTATCAAATATAAAGTTTCTCTTCTTTTACCTAATTTTTTTAAAATTGAAAGTTAAGGAATCCTGAGTGTATTTTTGTCCTTGTTCCCTGCTATGCATGATGCTGAAAAAAATATATATATATATTCTCTACTAGCCCCTTTCAGAAGATCCCACAAATCATTTAGCTCTAAATTAGCTCCAACAATCTGTTCAGTTTTATATTTTCCATTTTTTGCCTTGTTAAGACTCATCTAGTTCAGGGCAATATATTAAAATATCTTACTATTATTGTCTGAACAACCTATGTCTTCTACAAATTCAAATGCTATTACATCTAGTGCATATATGCTTAAAATTACTATTGACTTGGGGCAGCTAGGTTGTGCAATGGATAGAGCACTGGCCCTAGAGTCAGAAGGACCTGAGTTCAAATCTAGCCTCAGACCAAACACTTGACACTTACTAGTTGTGTGACCCTGGGCAAGTCACTTAATCCCAATTGCTTCAAAAAAAAATTTACTATTGACTTGTTGTCTGTCATTCCCTTAAGCATAATTAAATTTCCTAAATTTTTGATATTGTGAATTTTTAGTTTTTCTTTAGTTGACACTATGATTAAAATTTCTACTTCCTTGGATTCACCTGATGAATGTATTTTGTCCAGCTGTCTTTCTTTGCTTTTTTTTTTGCACTGTCTTTGCTTTTTAGATGTGTTTCTCGTACATAACAGACGTTATTTTCATATCCATTCTGCCACTCTCTTTTGCTGTACTGGACTATTTAGTCTAATAAAATTTGTAGCACTTTTTTACAATAGTAAATAAATTCAAGGGCAAAATCAAGATAAGAGTGAGAGGAAGCAAGTGAGCCTAGCTTGCTAGTTCTGTTAATTGCCAATAATTTTGTGGTCTTACAGAATTCTTTAGTTTCTTCATCTGCAAATGATATGGTTGTATTGTAGGATATTCAAAGTATATTTTAGCTCTCGATCCTGTGACTACTTTGAGGTTTTTTGTTTTTTCTTTTTTAAGGGATATGATAGAGTAGTAGTGAAATTACTCAAAAGTAATCAAAGAGTGATATAATCTTTGATATTTGATGTAATGGTTTGAAGGTCTGATGCTTGAACTACAAGCTGTTTATCTCTCAGCTGAGATCAGTGTTTTTACATTTCAGAATTTTCTTTCTGTTTATGTTTCAGGTAAAACTTTAAATATCTTTGGTTTGGGAGAAGAAGGAATAGGTAGTTTCTATGACTCTAGTTTTTTGTTCTCCATTCTGTTTTGATTCTGTACCTCTTTAGTAAAAACTTGTTGAGCATTCACAAAATATGCGTATTTAATTATAAATTATATACATATTACATGATCCTAGTTTCAGTTAATTTTGTTTTTAAAAATTTTTATTTTTTATTATTTCGAATTTAAAAAAAATCTATAAGCATAAATTTTCCATGTTCTAAGAATAGAAATAGAGAGTGTATATGAAATCATTAATCTTTATTGCTACTGCTTTTTAAAAGAAAGTCAGTAATGTAGTAGACATATTTCTTTCTAAGATAATTCTGCTTTTGTGTATGTCCATCTGAATTTTCTTTTTTTCTCTTCTGTGATTTTTCTAAAAGAAAAAAATTCTTCAGTGAATCTCTTTTGTTTTTTTTTTTTTTTGGGGGGGTATCAGTCTTACTAAGCTTCTTTTACCTTCCCTTGTTTTCTTCCTTCCTTTTTTTAAAATTTATTTTTAGTTTTCAAAAATCACTTCCATAAGCTTTTGAGTTTTAAATTTTCTCCCCCTCCCTCCTCACCTCCTCCCTAAGAAGATGCTCAATTTAATATAGGCTCTACATATACATTCCTGTTAAACATATTTTCACATTAGTCATGTTGTAGAGAAGAATTAGAACCAATAGGAGGAACCACAAGAAAGAAGAAACAAAACAAAACAGAAGGGAAAAAAAAAACAAATAGTATGCTTTGATCTGCATTCAAACTCCATAGTTCTTTCTCTGGATGTGGGTAGCATTTTCTATCATGAGACTTTTGGAGATGTCTTAGATCCTTGCATTGCTGAGAAGAGTTTAGTCTATCAAAGTTAGTCATCACACAACGTGGCTATTACAACGTTCTCCTGGTTCTGCTCACTTCACTCAGCATCAGTACATACAAGTCTTTCCAGGTTTTTCTGAAGTCAACTTGCTCATCATTTCTTATAGCACAATAGTATTTCATTACATTCATATACCGCAACTTTCCTCCATTCCCCAATTGATGGGCATCCCCTCAGTTTTCAATTCTTTGCCACCACATTAAGACCTGCTATAAATATTTTTGTACATGTGGGTTCTCCCTTCCTTTTAAAACAAAATTGAAAAACAGCTTTGTAACACATATACACATTCCAACAAAAGAATTCCACACACAGACATCTCAGAAAACGTTATATATCATTTTGGACCTGGGTCTCTCATCAGTTTTGCAGAGATGAGTAGCGTCTATACTCATGCTTGGTCATTGCATTGCATTCTTAAGTCTTTAAAATTATTTTTCGTTATATTGTTGTAGTTATTGTATAAATTGACCTCTTGATTCTGCTGACTTCACTTTCTGTCAGTTCATGATGCAGTCTTCCCGAGTTTCTCTGAATCTGTTCTTTTCATCATTTCTTTTAGCAGAGTAACATTATATTACATTTTCAAAAATGAAATCCTCCTTAAGAGTCCTTCATAATTTAGTTATCTTCCACTTTCAAGTCTTCATACCTTTGCTTTGTCCACTCAAAATTTTCTAATGACATTGGCCTCCTTGCTCTTCTTTGTACAAGACACTACATCTCCTGACTCCATGCATTTTTTACTGTCTGTCACTCATGCCTGGAATGCTGTCCTTCCTCATCTCTGCCTCCTGGCCTCCTTCAAGTCCCAGCTAAAATCCTACCTTCTACAAGAAGTCTTTCTGAATCCCTCAGTTCTTATGCCTTGTCTCTGTTGATTATTTCCCATTTATCCCATATATAACTTGTTTGTACATAGTTGTTTGTATGTTTTCTTATCCCATTAGATTGAGAGTTTTTTGACAGCAAGGACTTTTGCTTGCAATTGTCTTTCTTTGTATCCCTAGTGCTTTACACACTGCCAGGAATTTGGTAGCCTCTTATGTACTTGTTGATTGACTGTTAATATGCCATAATTTCTTTTCATTCCTCAGTTCCTAGGTATGCTGTTAGTTTTCAGTTCCTTGCTATGAGAAAAAATGCTGTTGTGTGTTTGGACATATGGGTGCTTTCCCTTAACCTTTGATCTCAACCTTTAGTTCACCCATGTTTCCCACCTCGGTATAATCCTCAACTTTTCACTAGAATTCACCTCATATAGCTAATCTCATGCCAAGTTTTCTCAATTCTACCTTCACACCTTCTCAGACTTACATCCCTTTTCTCCACTGACGTGGCTGTCATGCTTGTCCTCATCACCTCACACCTGGACTACTGCGGTAGTCTTCTGGTTCTTTCTGCCTCAGTTATCTTTTTTACATTCAGTCCTCAACTGCTAAAGCAATTTTTTCCTTTCCAGTTTTCCTTTCTGGTCTGACTATGTCACTTCCCTACTCAGCAAACTCCAGGGGATCCTTATTACTTCTAGGATCAGATACAAGATTACTACTGTCTTCACAGCTTCCCCCTTTACTACCTTTCCAGTATCCTTTCTCATTAGTCCTTTCCTTTTACTCAGTGCTCCAGTGATAATGGAAGCACTGATGCTGTGCACTTCACACATCTTCAACCTGAGCAGAGGTGGGGGCAAGGCATACTAAAGACTGAGAGAAAGGAAAAGCAAAACAAAATTCTTGTAAGAAACATGATGATAAGGGGCAGCTAGGTGGCACAGTGGATAGAGCACTGGCCCTGGATTCAGGAGGACCTTAGTTCATGTCCGGCCTCAGACACATAACACTTAACTAGCTGTGTGACTCTGGGCAAGTCACTTAACCCCATTGCCTAGCCAAAAAAAAAAAAAAGAAACATGATGATAAAGCAAAATGATTGTATACCATGTCTATGTTCAGTAGAATCCCTCAATTCTAATACCTTCTTTCTGTTGAATATTTCCCATTTATCCCATATATAACTTGTTTGTACATAGTTGTTTGTATGTTTTCTCCCTTCATTAGATTGAGAGTTCTTTGAGAGCAAGGACTTTGCAATTGCCTTTCTTCGTATTCCTAGTGCACTTTTTTGTACTTTTAATCCATTTATCTTTTTGTCAGGAGGAATGTAACATGCTTCATGATAGGATTATCTGGCAATATGACTAGTAATTGCCTTTGTCAGAATTCTTAAGTCCTTCAAATTTGTTTTTGTTTACAATATTGCTGTCCTTTTAAAAAATTGTTCTCCTGGTTCTACTTAGTTTCACTTTGCATCAGTTTATACTCTCCAGTATTCTCTGAAATTGTCTTATTCGTAATTTTTAATGGTACAATAACATTTATTTAAATTCATGTAAAATAATTTGTTTATTTATTCCCCAGTTTATTGGCATACCCTTTCATTCTACTTATTTTATTTTTTTGTTTTCACCTTTTAATCTCTTCTTGAAAATCAAGAAATTTATTTTGTTTGATGCTCTTTCCTTTCCAGTATAATCCTCC